ATAAACTAAGTTCCGATTTCAAAACTAACTTATACTATGTTCCGACACAGCTTAATTTTGCAAAAATCTTAATTTCATCTCCGTTTCAGTGAAATTAAGTTGTTTTTGCCATACAAAATTCTGTTTTAAGGTTAGAATAAAATTAAAAAACAAATTGCAACTGTCATTAATTTTAAATAGAGGGAAAAATAATAAATTATGAACCTAAAATGCATTAAAGTTAATAAAATTAATGAATGTCATCCTTTATAGTTAGAATAATTAGCTATTGAAATTTCCCAGACACAAATGATGTTTGGAGCACGTAATTTTTAACATTCGATTTGTAAACCAAAACATATGATTTTCTTAATTTAAGGCAGTATGAACACTTTCGAAATTAACTTAATTTCATTTGTACGAAATTAAGGAAATTTGGCTGTCTGAACATATGGTAGTATTAAGTAAAAATCAAGTTAGCAAAGTTGAGACTTACAGTATGTTTCCACTGCTTACTTAGTTAATTTATCTTACTAATAGTACATTCACACTTTCTCATTAAAGCACTTGCTCATTTATATTAATGAGTGAACGTTCAAACAATAATGAGCTCATTTATGCAGCTAATAGAACTTTTATAAACTTTTTTAAGCTTCTTTTTTTTCTTCTTCTTCTTATGCGGCACTACATTTCAGTATGAACCTTGGCCTCCCTCTGTCCCGTTCTTCTACTACTCTATATCTAAATGAAGCTTCACTTAATAATGATAAATTATTATCAAAGGGGTAAAATTGTGGTTAAGAATTATTTTTATAGATTATATACAATTTATTATAGGTAGAAATAAGCTTTCCCACTCCGTTCGTAATTTTTGAGCGATGTGTGTGGAGGTGGGAACGGACGGACCAGTTTTCATGTCCGTATGTCATCCATCTTTTTTGATTGTAGTTCGAGATAAGTTTCTATACCACTGTATTTGTTATTTTTGAACTATATGTGTGGATGTTGAAAATTCCATGATCAGACTTCAAGCCCGTATGCTCTTCATCTTTTTTGGTTAGTGTTCGATATAAACTTCTTGCTCATTGTGTTCGTTATTTTTGAACAATGGTTTTGTATGTTAGAAGTTTCATAACCAGGCTTTATGTTCGTGCACCATTCATTTTTTTGTTTATTCCAATTTGGAATAAACTTTTCTCCCACTCCGTTCATGTGTGTGAATACTGAAACTTCCACAATCAGGCTTCATCTCCATATATTATCCATCCTTTTTGATTTTAATTCGGGATAAGCTTTCTTTCCAAATGAAATGCACAGAAGTGTAATATAGCTAATAGTCTACAGTGCTACTTATTGAGCTATGTCTGAAAGCCCTAAGCGAAGACTTACTTATCAATATCTATGCGGATATAACTGGCAGAGTTTCTGCAACAATATCGCACGGTGTTATGTTAGATGTTATATCTTGAGCAGTTGTTGGTCTACAGTCTACAACGCTACCATTATCCACAGAGATACAGAAAGTTGCTGAATCTTTTTAAATACCCTAAAGTTTGCACAGCACAGGAAGAAGCTGGACGCTTCCCATTGGTCTAAAATTTGCCAATTTTCTAACTGTGATCAATCATACCCAAATTGATCTAACCACTGATATTCAACACCAATGCATGAGCGCAAGTGATAAACCTCAAGTTATGTCTTGATCTTTTCACATTATCATCATCATCATCATCATCATCATCATCCGTGACTATGCAGTCCATGTAGGACCTAAACCTGTTTAACAACAGTCTGCTTATAGTATATACCATATATTACTGGTTTATATTGTCCTGGAGTTTGCTGTCCGAAATCACTTAGAAGTATTTTGTGAGGTGTTGAGGAGATACTTCAGTGTTGTCGATTTTGGAAGGTTTATGATCTTCCAAAATTTTAAAATTTTCTCGAAGACACTCTAAAAATGTTTGATTTTTACAATTTATCAATAAAAAATATAATACAATGTCTTCTTCTCTTTAAGAAAAAAGTCAATTCGTTAGTTTAATTGCCACATTTATTGTCGCAAATTGCATGTTGCAAGTCGTGAATTACTCAACTGAGACTGGTTTTCCGTATGCCGTAAAAACTGCAGTTAAGCGTTGTAAATTTTTCTTTTTTTGCTATTATTTTTAATGTTAACATCAAATTTGAAGATACAATTTCAGTGTAGAAAAGGCTTTCTGTTTTGCAATAGAAAGACTCAGACGTGACATCGCAATAAATTCATTTTTGCATGAGCTTCCAACGAATGTACGGCGGAGCAGTTGAAATGGGTTTTCTGCAAAGTGGCAGCACTCGATTTTGCGATTGTTCATCCACGAAGTTCACTGAAACTTTAGTTTTCATAGGAAATATTCAAAAAAAAATGTTTATATTTTATATTTGCATTTTGTATTCTTTTATGAAAAGTGAAAGGTTCAAAGAAAATTATTAAAATCAGTTTTGTAGCTTCAAGTTGCGTTTTAGCCGAACGGAAGGAAGTGGGTTAATGGCTATTTGATTGCAGATCGAAAGCATGTCTCTCAAGTGGAAAAACGAAAGAGAAATCCCATTCAATGCTATTAATGAGCAACTATTTTAGTATAAATCTTCATAAGCTGATCATAATTTTTACTCATTCACCATGAAAGAGTCTATTTTAGTAATAGAGATCGTTAGATTATTTGAGTAATCATAGAGTTTACTTGCTTATACATTAAATAAATAGATTTTATAGAATTAATATTAACAGGGTACTGATGCGTACTGATTTCTGACTACGGTAGAATATTTGTAATTAAATACAAAACACTGTTACCCTTTCCATTGAAGACATAGTCCTCATTAAAAATATCATTCTTAAGAATAACAGTAGTGGAGAGAGACAACGAAGTTTATTACACCCCTGAGACTAGGTGCGGAAACCTCCAAATAATCTTCATGACTTGTATATTCTATATACTAGAGGTTAGGTTAAGTTAAGTTGGGATGACAGTTTTGAACCTAAAACTCACCTAAGCTGAAATAATAGACCGTTGTAATACCAGGGTTTCGCGTTGTTCATATGCAGACTAAAGATCAGCGTACGAGCAACACCGAAAGGTACAACTTTCCCTTTCAAGTGAAAATGTACCAATCTGACAAGTCTATAAACTTGACCAAGTCTCTAATTTCGCAGGATATCAGCTATATCTAGTCGGTAAGAAAAATGACGCCGAAGATTTTAAATTCTCTACTAACCAATTATAGATACTGGTACATAAGGTAGAATACAGTTTCTTACTCAACCACAGAGCCACAACCACGATAAATTCATTATAAGGTAGACCCAGTCTCATAGCACGTCTTTCTAATATGCAGTGACCGTCAACATTGTTACCGTAGGTTAGGCCTTAGTTAAAGCAGCTAACTGTTACATCTCTCATCTCATAAGCTGCTCAATTTTTTTTAGCTATGTTTGATTGCATGCTTGATCGGTGCAAGTGGCCGCCCAATATCTAAGAAGTGAATATCACTGAGCAGAGGGTCTAAGTTGATAAGTTCAACAGCCCTGAAGTTGTCGGAGATGTGAGCAGAGGGTCTACATTGATAAGTCCAACAGTCCTACAGTTGTCGGAGATGTCCTTGTGTTCTGGAATCCATGTGAGCTAGATATTGACACGTCTAGCTAACTAACGATATAACCTAACTTAATATAGACTTAAAGAAATTTTTTAATGATTTTTGAATAATTAAAACATTTTAGTTTCAAGACCTGTAATTAAATTTTAAATTTAGTTCCCTATATAATATTTTTTCCAAAATTGTCTTAAATTATTTTTCAGACTCCTTAATTTAATTTTAAATTCAGTTCCTTATATATTATTTTTGTTTTAAATTACTCTAAATTATTTTCAGGGCTCTTAATTAAATTTTAAATTCTGTTCTTTATAAATTATTTTTTTGAAATTGTCCAAAATTGTCCAAAACCATTAAAACATTTTAGTTTCAAGAGCCTTAATTAAATTTTAAATTCTGTTCTTTATAAATTATTTTTTTGAAATTGTCTAAAAGTGTCCAAAACCATTAAAACATTTTAGTTTGAAGACCCTTAATCAAATTTTAAATTCAGTTCTTTAAATATATTTTTTTTTAAATCACCCCAAATTATTTTCAGGCCCTTAATTAAATTTTAAATTCTGTTCTTTATAAATTATTTTTTTAAAATTGTCCAAAATCATAAAAACATTTTAGTTTCAAGACCTTTAATTAAATTTTAAATTCAGTTCCTTATATATATATTTTTTTTAAATCGCCCCAAATTATTTTCAGTCCCTTACTTAAATTTTAAATGCAGTTAGTTCCTCATATATTACTTTTTTAATATTGTCCAAAATTGTCCAAAACCATTCTATAGATCTATGAACCCAAATAAATTATTGATACTCTTCTAATTATGCAGTCGCATGTGAGCGTAGTTGTCTCAATGTTTCCGTTGATATTGGTATTCTAGTGAAGACTTCAATGTGTCTATAATATATTGAAACTACATTTTAATTATTTAAATACTGAATAATTAATTTAAGATATTATGCTTTTGTACGCTGTTTTCAAGCGTTTGCGAACGTGATTATATGTGCCGAGAATTCTTGTCCCCATCGTATGCGACTACTGTACGACTACTGAAGTGGTCACTGTATCCACTCAGCAATATCTTAAATCGAATAAATGAAACACGATTCATCGACTTGCGTAATTATTTTAAATTTCAACTATTATAATAACAAATTAAAATATAAAAAAAAATAGGTCACCAATACAAAACACATGTAAGCTTATGATAGACAAGTAACAGCTTGAAATTTTTAATTTATATCTTTCTCTCATGTTTTAGTATTAATTATGAAATTAATTAGCAATTTCAACTGAAACGAAAATATTTATAAGCTATCGAATGTGCATATTTGAAAAAAAAAACTTTTTTTTCATTTCTTTCAAACTCGTATATCGAATTTCTTACTTAGGACGCTACATTTTGCTCTTGGCTGCCAGTAATAATTACGCCCGATTCGATACAGAAAACTAAGTTGAGCTCAAGGTATGCGATTAAGCATTCATGACGGATGATTTCGTAAGTTTTGCATATTAAGTACTGCCTTACACTTGAAACAAAACAAAAGCACTCCATGATTCTGTATTTTTTTTATATTGGTTTAAGTAGAAACGATCCAACCAGATAAGACACGAACATCTCTTCAAAGTTAATCATTTTTTACTTAGAAATGATACACATATATCTATCTATATTTCAGTAAATATATATAAATTTGAAATTCCGCATGTCACATACCTACAGAGTCGAGCGAATAGTAAAACGAATAAGAATAATCTATAGCACTACGGTTTTAAATACTCTGATAAAATTGATTAAAAATTTTAAAGTAGAGTACTACTGGATTCACACGAGAGTTTTGTTTGTAATTTCAGCTGTCAAAAATTTTAATTTTGCATTGAAACCAACAACAATTGACAGCTAAAATTACAAACAAAACTCTCGTGTGAATCCAGTATTACTCTACTCTACGTTTATTCTTATGCCGCTTGCGATTTGTAGATCTGGGGTAACTTTTTCAAACAAATTTCACTTTCGATATAAATTTCAATGCATTTGATTGCTAAATCTCGAGTTATATGGTAGTCTTTAATAAATCGTACTAAAAGTATATCCGGCCTTTCCTTAATTTTAGCTTTTATGCACATTTATACCCTGATCTATGCCTTTAATAAAAAAAGCTTTTATAAAATAACATCCATCATTTACTTAATTATACCATATTTTCACATTTACACCTATGCCTATATATTTTGGGCTTCAAAGTAAATTTCTATAAATTCATCTGAATAACTTATTATTAGAACTCAACAGAGCTCTTATTACAATGGATCATCTAAATGGTCTCAGACACTATTGAGTTAAAGTGGCTTAGACACTAACTCGCGTTTCATCAAGCAAAGAAGAAGACAGACCTGAGTCTATGCTCTTAATACACCATGCTTAATTTATATTAGTCCCGTATACGATGCACTCAACGTGTAAGGCCCTATAACGCACCTGAACATAACGCCTGATAAAAAACAGATTTTTATATGATTATTCAGATACATTCCGAATTGCATGCTTAACAAATTTCTAGTCATTTAACATTCCGGTACATAGAAGAGATTTTCTTTTATAGATTTGTGTACAACCATAAACTTAAACGCGAAAGAAACGATATAAATAGAGTAGAAACGACAAAAAATATAATATGACAGAGACGTTTTCTTAGCATCATATATCTCGAGTAATATTAAAAATATTAGTCTATTTTGAATTTTTAAGCCGAAGAAAGATTAATGAACTTTTTGGAAACGAGAGACTTTGGTTAAATTTTTCGGTTAATTAAAATTTTTTGACTATATCTTATATATGTCTTATAGTCGTTATATCTACTAAACAACCCAATGACTTTTTTACTACATTATTATAAAGACATATAGTTATAAATGAAGATATGAAGACATACATATATTATATAGCCATATATATAGTTGATATGTTTTGGACATCTTATATATTGTATGTCTTATATCTTATATATGTCTTATAGTCGTTATATCTACTAAACAACCCAATGACTTTTTTTACTACATTATTATAAAGACATATAGTTATAAATGAAGATATGAAGACATACATATATTATATAGTCATATATATAGTTGATATGTATTGGACATCTTATATATGTCTTATGGTCGTTATATCTACTACACAACCCAATGACTTTTTTTACTACATTATCATAAAGACATATAGTTATAAATGAAGATATGAAGACATACATATATTAAATAGCCATATATATAGTTGATATGTTTTGGATGTGAATAATTTCGCTGCCAATATACCTAAAATTAAACCAAATAGCCCGGTTATAAGTTTTACTACTTGAATCTAAATTAAATATAAAGCCCATATACATACACATGTTCTTCTATAAATCTATCTGAAAGGTGTTCAAATTTCTGTAAAGCCAAACCCAACTCCTCTACTCCATTCAACGAGCCATTTTGAGCGCCTACACTGACCACTTAGTTTTAATATATGGAACCATATTTATATAATTATTTAGTTTTTAGTTACATATTTATTTATTTAATATAAATTATACATATAAATATATATTATAATTTTTTTTTTTTTTTGCAGGACGTATCTGGACAAGTAGTCCTCATCACTGGTGGTGGCGGCGGCGTAGGACGCTTATTGGCCTTAAATTTTGCCAAGTTGAACGCAAACATTATAATTTGGGACATCAATCAAGAGGGTAAATGTTCGCTCAATCTTCTTTTAATCTTCTTTAAATTTTACAACCGAAACTAGTTCAGAAATAAAATCGAAATGAATTTTACTAATTCACACGAAACTGTGAATTCTGCAGACGAGCTGCAATGTTTATCGATTGCTTAGCACTCTTAGGTTCATTGGCTCACAAGTCGATTTAGAAAGTTTTCGAACAGTTTCAATACTTGAGGTGTGAATAATTGTATAAATAAAATGAAATATGTGATATATACAATATATATAGTAAATATTTATATCTTGTAATGCAAATAAACTTGCATTGCGTTTATTTTTTATAAAACTTAATCATGTGACTTAATTACATTTTATATTATATTATTTTGCAGCTATTAAAGCTACAATAGATCTTTTGAATCAAAATGGATTTCAATCAATTAAGGGCTATGTTGTCGATATATCAGACAGAGAGCAGGTGTATCAAAGAGCAGCACAAACTATGACCGAAGTAGGTCAGGTAGACATACTAATTAATAATGCTGGCATTGTATGCTGCCGACCATTTTGGGATCTGCCCGATAGTGTCATACAAAAGACTTACAACATAAACATCATATCACATTACTGGACAGTCAAAGCCTTTCTGCCAAATATGATGAGGAGAAATTCGGGTCATATAGTAACTGTGGGCTCCGTTACGGGTATGTTAGGCACGTACGGTTGCACAGATTACAGCGCCACAAAATTCGCATGCATTGGTTTCCATGAAAGTCTATTAACCGATTTAAAGACTCATGGTTATAACGATATACAAATGACACTAATATGCCCGTATTACATTAACACTGGTATGTTCTCTGGCGTTAAACCGAGACTCTTTCCCATGCTGGAGCCGCAGTATGTATCTGATGAAATTGTTAAAGCCGTGCGTAGGAATGAAGTTTGGTGTGTTATGCCCAAATCAATACGAACACTAACACCGCTAAAGTGGTAAGTACCATAAGAAAGAGACAAAATATTTTGGAATTCTACAAACATAGACATCAATAGAATAATATGGGTTTAATGAAGATGAAAAAAAATAAGGGAAGATAATTAGATTTAGCAAAATAATCCATAAAGAAATTTTGCTCCATAACTTCTAATATAGTTTATTCTTCATTTTAAATCTATTAAGCTACATCTCTTAATCACAGTGCGTTCATCTCTCGATAATTATTTAGTTGTATATATAGTTAGATTCTTAAAGCTTAAGATCTTGCTTCACTCTGCTTCTAGCAAGAGAATCTATTGAAAATTTACAAGAAAGATAATAATTATTTCAATCAAATACTGATTATATAAATAATTTTGCAGTATGTAATTTCCAGTAGAAAATCTACACCGATTCGCTATTTGATACTCACTAACTATTATAACACGTCTGTGGTGTAGTGTACTATAACCTTGTTTAGATATTTGAGTCATGTTTTCGCAGCTTATACTTTGGCTAATCCACAACTCACAAATTATCAGCAAAATTGAACTCAGAAAAATTAACTGAAACCATAAAGGATCATAATCAGTCTCTAAGCTACAATGTGTTCATAAATAGATCGCAGTGCGATAACTCTAAATTATAAAACGTTCAACTCTAGATAGGAGTGCGTTCATCTCTCGGTTATTATTTATTTAATATTTTTTGTAAGACTTAAAAAAAAATTGCTATGTCCTCCCTATATCCCCTCAATAAGAACCGTTTAAAGACGGTAAGCAGATCAGTTCAGTATTACCTCTTTTCTAACGACCAACGATTAATATTTAACTTTTGCAATAACAACAACTTATGGGACTTTATGGCATATCATTTTTTCTAACGACTAACGATTTTTTTTAATAACTTAGCAGTTTCTATAGGTGAACAATTCCTCATTTCATAACTTTCTTTTGATCGTATTGCTCTTCGAAACGGTATTTAAGTGGATACCCAAAAAAATCAGCAAAAAATGTTAATGTAAATTTCGTAACCACAGCTTCATACTTCATCCGATAATCTATAGACATACTTATATCTTATTTTTAAACAACCCACGTTAAGAAACATTGAATTAATACAACCGCAAAAAGCAATCGCAAAGAGTGACCACGAAGAACAACCATAGTTCCATAAAATTCATTCAGCTCCACTTTTGTTACTACCTACCTACCAGGTGGTAATTTGTGGGTCATTAACTTAAATTATCGTAGATATAATTTCTCTTTATTTGACGCTTGGTAGACACTCTCAAATTGTATCAATCAAAAACGATCCATCACCTATGTCATATTTCTTTGATAACTGAGTGAATACCTAAATACCAGTATATTAATCGGTATATATCCACTAGTAAAATTGGAAAGAACTTATACATACAGCTGGTATTTGGTATAGGCATTCATAAAAAGAATTAAATTTAAAAAGAATAATTTTAAAATTATAAAAGAATTAAAAGAGATTATAACAGAATTCAATGAGACTATAAAAGAATTAAAAGAGATTATAATAGAATTCAATAAGACTATAATAGAATTCGATGAGACTATAATAGAATTCAATGAGACTATAATAGAATTCAAAGAGACTATAATAGAATTCAATGAGACTATAATAGAATTCAAAGAGACTATATTAGAATTCAAAGAGACTATAGTAGAATTCAATAAGACTATAGTAGAATTCAATGAGACTATATTAGAATTCAAAGAGACTATAATAGAATTCAATGAGACTATAATAGAATTCAGAGACTATAATAGAATTCAAAGAGACTATATTAGAATTCAAAGAGACTATAGTAGAATTCAATGAGACTATAATAGAATTCAATGAGACTATAATAGAATTCGATGAGACTATAATAGAATTCAATGAGACTATAATAGAATTCAAAGAGACTATAATAGAATTCAATAAGACTATAATAGAATTCGATGAGACTATAACAGAATTCAATGAGACTATTATAGAATTCAATGAGACTATAATAGAAATTCGCAAAATATATATTTAAAACTAAATGGAAGTCTCATATCTGATCAAATTTAAAACCACCGCCGCTAAGTTGTAAACCCCATTGCATCTTATATAAATATATTTAACACGTCATAATTATAAAAATTTCTTTGCAGCCTTCTTCCCGCTAAAATGTGTTGGGAATTAATGGCAAGAGTAATACGTGGACCCGATTCAATGAGACTGTACCAAGGACGTGGAAAAGTAGCTGCTGGTTAAAATTTAAAAATTGGTGTATATATAATGTGAAGTATATATTAACGTTTTATAAACTAAAAAAAAATTGCTTATAATTTATTTTTATCGTATCCAAAATAAAAGATCAAAACTGTTTCCGGATTTCTAGTTTTATTGAATTTATTGAAAATTTACTTAAGACATACAATTTTTATTTCATTCTTTTTTAAAATTTTTTTTTAATTTTTATTTTTTTTTGTTTTTTGAAATTTTGCTTAGGTTTTTTGTTTAATTTTTTTTTTCATTTTTCATAATTTTTTTTATAATTTTTTTTTTACATTTTTATAATTTTTTTTTCACATTTATTATATTATTTTATTAAATTTTTTTTTAGGTTTTCATTATTTTTTTTTTTTTTTTTTTTGATTTTTTATTACATTTATCCATTTTGGATAAAAGCCTTATAGTTACGATGCAACTTGCAACAAATGCTTCATAATGTTTCAATCCAAACTTGCACCACCAGATGGAAATTAAATCCATCCGTTTTTATCTGTTGAGCTTGAGGGTGTTTTTTTTTTGTATACTCTTATAACACCGTCAATCAAACAGTTCCACAAGTTTACATCGAATATAGATTAACAGAAGATGCAACTTGTATCCTGCCATAGCACAAACCATACGAATATACAGAAATAATTTTCGCAGAGGTAATTGTGTTACATCATTAAGGTTTCCACAAGTTTGAGCGACAGTTGAGTGTTGACGCATTTATTTACTTGTGAGATTGCAGTTTAATATATAATCTCGGTTCACATATGCTCAGCACTGACGGTTCTACAAGCTCGAATATATTATTCTGCATATCAAAATGTACACATATCTTCTGCAACCAGTAATCTTTAGTGTGTGTTCCAACACTAATGGTTCCACAAAATTTGATTTAACATGAATTGATAGCTAATATTTTACTTCACTTAGCAGATCATAATTCAGTCTAAACGGTAAACGCATATTAAATATCGTATCATATCTACAAGTGTTAAAAAAGACGTCAACGTTAACGTCACTCGTGACTTCTGTTCCCCTATGCGATTAGTATTACTGCCTTCATTCTGATCTTGTTGTGCTGTTTTGCTGATACTGTCTGCCCTTGTGACTTTATTACTGCCGTTGCTTTACTTCTGTCATTTTTGTCACTCTTGTTGCGGTTGCATCTGTTGTTGTTGTGTTGTTGCTGTTGTTGTGTTGTTGCTGTTGCTGTCGCTGTTGCTGTTGCTGCTGCTGTACTGCCGCTGCAGTTGTTGTTGCCGTTGCTGCTGCTGCTGTTACTGCCGCTGCAGCTCTTGCTGCTGGTGATGCTGTTACTACTGCCGCTGCAGCTGTTGTTGCTGATGTTGCTGCTGTTGTTGTTGTTGTTAATGCTGCTGCTGCTGTTGCTTCTCCATGATAGGACCAAACGCGACTGCATTAAATATATTTTCAACAGAATATTTAAATATATTTACAACAAGTTGTGCTTCAACATTCACTTTTAAAATTTGGTGATGATGATCAACCATTATTTAGTTAAGCACAAAAAGCTTAACATTTCATTTGCTAGACCACATATCCAATGCAAATGAATAGATATTATGTCAACCTAAGTGAAAAGTGATAGCACTTGTGTTAACACAATAATTCTACAATAAGTCGTTTTTCATAATTTTTAACATGAATGTTGAAATTAAATTTGCAGATTTATTGCATCATTGGTTTAAATACCATATATGAGGTCAGAGTCTCTTCTTGTTCTCCATTCGATACCATTTGTAGGGCATACGTACCCTTTCAAATAATCGTTTGTATTCAGATTTACTGCGTCATCAATATTAATACAAAATATGAAGTCAGAACTCCTCCTTACCTCTGTTCGGGACCATTTCGCAAGTCGTTCGCGCCCTTTCGAATGGTCGTTTGTATTTAGATTTACTGCATCATCGATTTTAATACAATGTATGAGGCCAGAACTCCTTCTTACCTCCGTTCAATACCATTTCGGAGGTCGTTCGCGTCCTTGCAAATGGTCGTAAATAACATCAACATGAGTAAAACTCTGATTTATTCTCGCTGTTGACGATACAGTGGAATGTATGTTGCTCCATCATATAAAATTGTACATGCGGATATTATTACATTCAATTTTGACTGATTGTGTGTTTGACTACTCACATTCTACCAGTCTACTTTATTTGCCAGAGTACTTATCAAAGCAAATTGTGTATATTTACGTCAACCTCAACGAAATTTTCTATTTCTTTTTGATGTTGGCGTATTATTACGTCCTGTAACATAACACGCTCCTCTAATTCTCCACTAGAATGTAGCGGCGAATAAGTTTTCCATAGTTATATTACGGTATTCAGTTTTATAACCTGAATGATAGTGACTAAAATCATATTCCTTATCGTCTCATTTGCCAGGCTCCATGTTAGTGCAATTTGGAAATACAGTTAATCTGATTGTTGTATTTTTCAAGATCTCATAACAGTCGCATATTATTTATGGAGCTGATGATATTTTCTAACCACCATCTTCCAGTTATAATATATTATAGATTTATTGTATCTTTAGGCGTTATCTATGCGCACTGTTGATATCAAATTGAATCCATGCGAAGTATTGATGATCCTTACTAAAATTTACAATCGTCATTAACTATATGCGATTGACATCTATAATCATCTAAGATTGTGCAGTTGTCATCTAATTGCCCAGATCACGTATCAATGCAAATGGTAAACAATATCGTCAATATAATCCATATATCACTTCTTAATCATTAGATAATATGCTTCACTCAAAAGTTTTGCACATCCAATGATTGATTGGCTTTTAGTTCTCAAATTTCAAGATGCTGCTCGATTTGATATAAGCCCCCCTGCCACGTCAAGGCAGCCAACCCCAGGGGGGTAATTACATTTCCGTTTTATTTTACCTAAAAAGAGAAAAAGAAATAGATGTTAAATGAATTTCAGTTTCACAGGTTATTATTAAAAAAAACTTATACTGAGTAAAAATAGGTTAATTAATCAATTTTTAGAAACTTAAATATATTCTAGATTCTATGAGATATTTTCAAAAGATTATTAATTTGTTGCAGCAATCAGAAAATAACGTTTAATAACATATATATAATACACAACTGGAAAATGTATTTTAATCTTGAAATCTTCTGATCTAAACCTTCTATAATTCGAATAAAATTTTCGGCATTCTTTATTACAACGTGACCTTGGAACAGTTACTGACCAAAAAAAATTTAGGTCATGAATTTTGCTTGATTTTGGAAAATAACATATTCACATATGTACACAATTTGTCTATTTATGTTTATTTGTATGAAATTATTATGCTGTCAAACTTCCATAACTCGAACTTCTATAACTCGGAATTCTCTATAACTCGAGTATTGTAACGTTCCAATAGGAATATGGGATAGTGTATTCTGTAAGTCAAATTTTTGTTTTAAGTATGAATCCATTTTGATCTTAGGGAAAGTCTCTTTTTCCAAACCAAATATTTAATTTCTGCTTTCTTATGTTACTTCCTTGTGCAAATGCCAGGCGACGGCCATTGTGCAAATGCATAGAATTGGCATTTCTTCCACCGAATATGAACTCTAACTTGCAACCGCTTGATTAGGGATTAATTCAAAATTTAAAGTGTAACTATCGCAACAGAATCGTTAAAGAAGCACGAAAGCTGGATTTGGTCAATTTTCTACATAGAATGAACAGGACGAGATTCTTTTAGTTCTCTTGTATAACATTAATGAAGACCGTAATTTGATGGAACAGAATTATTAAGCGTGGTTTAAAGTAAATAAAAGTTAATGACTATATTTTATTTGAGTTAATGACTATATTGTGCTTGACAATGAAATTTGTACATCAAGCTTTTTCTACAAATGATATTATTCATCATTATAGCTCTGGTACGGAAAGTGATGAAGAGAATTCAGTGCATATTTTTTATCAATCTTTCAAGAATGAAAAAAAAATTGTTTGAATACCAAGTATTGCTTACCTTTAATTTATCACAGGTTCCTTCTAAGCTAGTGCAAAAATGTTCATCTCATTGTAGTAGGTTCTGCAAATAAAACATATGCGATAAGAAATTGTACTCTAAAGTAGAAAAATTAATTTTTATTTTTTATCAGTTCTACTATTATGATAAATCTTTCATTGATTTCAGTTGTCCCTATCATAAACTCATCATTATAAACATGCAAAATCAGACTTAGAAATTATTAGAAAAATATATCATTTATAACAAAGCCCACTTAAAATCACCAAATTTATTTGTTCACTTCAAGTCCATTTTAACCGAAATGGCACTGTATTTTAAAATGCACCACCATTCGTCATTTAAAATGTATAAATTATGTACATATATATTAAAATTATTGAGCTTATTTTCTCTAATAACTTCTCTGAGTGCATTGCTTTAAAGACAAAATTCAAAACTATTATGTCTATACCTGCAGTATTGCTCCAGAAACAGAAATATGCGTATACATATTTATTTGTGTATACTTTTTTTAGTGGTAAAGTCCATAAAAGTGTTTCCGACACCTAACTTTGTTCTTCAGTTTCCCACTCTAGCAAAATAGTATTGCAATAGGTTTCTGTAATTAAAATAAAATTATTATTATTTACTACTGTAAGGATTTAGGTGAAAAAAATACATTTTAATTTTTCATCAGTTCTACTATTATGATAAATCTTTCATTGATTTCAGTTGTCCCTATCATAAACTCATCATTATAAACATGCAAAATCAGACTTAGAAATTATTAGAAAAATATATCATTTATAACAAAGTTCACTTAAAATTACCAAATTTTTTTGTTCACTTCAAGTCCATTTTAACCGAAATGGCACTGTATTTTAAAATGCACCACCATTCGTCATTTAAAATGAATAAATTATGTACCTATATATTAAAATTATTGAGCTTATTTTCTCTAATAACTTCTCTAAGTGCATTGCTTTAAAGACAAAATTCAAAACTATTATGTCCATACCTGCAGTATTGCTCCAGAAACAGAAATATGCGTATACATATTTATTTGTGTATACTTTTTTTTAGTGGTAAAGTCCATAAAAGGGTTTCTGACACCTAACTTTGTTCTTCAGTTTCCCACTCTAGCAAATTAGTATTGCAATAGGTTTCTGTAATTAAAATAAAATTATTATTATTTACGACTGTAAGGATTTAGGTGAAAAAAATACATTTTAATTTTTCATCAGTTCTACTATTATGATAAATCTATCATTGATTTCAGTTGTCCCTATCATAAACTCATCATTATAAACATGCAAAATCAGACTTAGAAATTATTAGAAAAATATATCATTTATAACAAAGTCCACTTAAAATTACCAAATTTTTTTGTTCACTTCAAGTCCATTTTAAGCGAAATGGCACTGTATTTTAAAATGCACCACCATTCGTCATTTAAAATGTATAAATTATGTACATATATATTAAAATTATTGAGCTTATTTTCTCTAATAACTTCTCTGAGTGCATTGCTTTAAAGACAAAATTCAAAACTATTATGTCCATACCTGCAATATTGCTCCAGAAACAGAAATATGCGTATACATATTTATTTGTGTATACTTTTTTTAGTGGTAAAGTCCATAAAAGTGTTTCCGACACCTAACTTTGTTCTTCAGTTTCCCACTCTAGCAAATTAGTATTGCAATAGGTTTCTGAAATTAAAATAAAATTATTATTATTTACTATTGTAAGGATTTAGGTGAAAAAAATAAATTTTAATTTTTCATCAGTTCTACTATTATGATAAATCTATCATTGATTTCAGTTGTCCCTATCATAAACTCATCATTATATACATAAAATACTGAAGAATAAATGCTATAAATTTTTTTTTTTTGGCAATAAATAGATTTATGAATTGTGTAAGTATACACAACTTATCCATTATATTGCTATCAAAACTACTAATTGCATTTATTCAATCAAAAAAAAAATAAAATTTTATGTATATTACATACCTTAACCTTTACTATTTCACGAAACAGCCTCGTTCTCGCTACACGCATATTATACACATTTTTCCCCCAACGACTGAAATGACGAAATACCAATTATTGATTTAATAAAATATTAAAATAATGGATAAAGACTATATAGAAGAAATAAAAAAACATACAAAATAAACTTTATTTTGAAATTTACTAATTTTGAAATTAATTTACCAGCATTTAATTTAATTAATTCTTTAAATACATTTCTCTAAAACAAAGCGCACGACACACAGCTAGCTCGACCTCAGTAATGCAAATGGCCGAACCTTGCACAATAGTACCAAATGTGAAATTAAGCCAGTGTTGCATTTTTTAGTACTCTCCAAAACATGTTATATACCTGTCGTTTACTATTTTAACGAAATATATTTTATAAAAAAAAATCAGCTACTAAAAACAATTAAAAATATAATTCAAATAATATATAACAGCTTCTAAATACTTTATATAGAACATAACTGTTGGTATAAAACACAGTTGCAAACAGCACATGGTTTTCACATGGTCCACGTGGATTCCAAAATACTAAGAAACACTTTTGCAAATTACTTTTCTCATGTACATAAAACCCAATTTTTTTTTTTGTAGATATTTTCAATTTAACACACCTTAAAATTTAAAAAAAAAACAAAATTAAAGAAATTTCCAGAGACACTGTAACACCACAAAACATTGTAATAAGTCTAGAAACTATCTTCGCAAACACTCTCAAAATGTTTAAGCAAATTAAAATACTCAACTACAATTAATAGCAAATTAATTAATTATTTAATTAATTATATTATATTAATTTAATTTTAATTATAATAATTAAAAAATTAATTATTAATTTTTTTTATTTAAAAAATTAAATATTACTTTTAGTAACATGTATATATTTTATAGAATAAAATTCCGCTCACGTGATAATATTCAATAATCTAGTAACTTACGCCACAAGTCCGTAGTGAAAATGACAAATAATTGAAAAACGTTCAACATACAAACGATATTTACACTACCAATTACGGTTTGATAACTTGTTACATTTATAAGCGCTATACACGTACATGTAATATACGATATAAAATATTAGCGAAAGATCTGAGAGTGTTTAATAATACATATAAACAATCCATATTAATATTGTTTATTAAAATATCAACATTAGTTACAAATATAATATTTTCATGAATATAGAAAGGACACTATATTTATGAGAAAGTTCGCCAAGATATAAAAGTCAGAAGTATTGCCATTTTATTAAAAAGTTGTAATCGCATTTTTCGTAATTTTGTAAATTTTATACGGGATATTTCTAAAATCTTCATTGTTGTTTTATTATTTTCTTCTACTATTTTGATTACAATATCACTCTTTTGCAATAAAAGTAAAACAACTTGTAGTTCTTCTTTTTCCATTTTTAAAATATTTAAAATCAACATTTTTGTTCACCACTTCACAGCTGATTAATTGACAGCTACTTTGAAAGTGGTTTCAATTCTTGTACGTAAACGCTCTAAAAAATTTTAAAATCAGTTTTAAAAGTGATTTTAAGACTTGCGTAAAGGTAGTGCAATACTAATTATTAAAGAACGAAGAATTAAAATTGTTATTTAATTCCCACACCATAGACTTGTTTAGAATGTGAATATGTGAATATAAATATAAGTATTGTATCTTTACATCATTTATAGCACCACAAAATGTAAACACAAGATGTAATACTCTAAACTTCATTTTAAAATTTAAAAGTAGCAGTGTTGATCCAACTCACAATTTTTAAAGGTCAAATTTGCTCAATAAGTGTGAATTTAATAATATCATCTTCTTCTAATTTGGCACTACAGTCCAGTATGAACATTAGGGTTTAATTTTAATAAGTTTTTTTTTTGCTTTTCAATTGATAAAAATAGAATTCATGAAAATTATGCTACAATTGATTTTTTTCAGTTGGGAGACATTGTAGTAGATCTGTTCCACGAGCTACTTTTAGTAAGACTCAAGTAAATTACAAACTGAGAGCGTAACACAAATTAAGTGTCAAATTATGTTCTTTACACAAGGAGCAGCTTTGTGTAAAATCTGGTGAGAACACCAGTGCCAATAAATAATACAAAAATTTAAATTCAAACCAAAATAGCTTATTCACACATCACACAAATTTTACTTGAAATAAAATGAACGAGTTAAGTCTGTGTAGCATTTTCAAATTTCGTCAGGCATGTTACGCTCTCTCAGATGCTCTCATTTACTCAAAAATTTCCTGATGAAACGCAGTTGTATATATACAGTGTTAATCAAAGTTACTACGAGTAGCTTTGAACCAGACCTAGTGTGTAATGATGTATAGAAGCAACTTTTAAAGATAAAGAAAGTTTTGGATATTTTGAATAAAATATAAAAGTAATAAAAAAGTATTTTTCGAATTTAATACTTTGCTAATTAATTGCTTATCTGTTAAATTAGCAATTAATAATTTGTAATAATTTCACTACATTTACTTTTAAGCTTAAAACTATTAAGGGTATTTGCATAGCATTAACATTTAAATTTAGTTATATAACTGTCACTAATTGAAGTGCACTTATATGTAGTGTAAACATGGAAGACAAAACAACAATTTTAAAAATAATAAAAAAATGAAAAAAGGACACATGTGGCAGCTCTTTGTAGCGAAGTACACGTCGCGTGTACTAGATTTAAACATGTTAAAATATTTGACAGTTGTCCTGTATTTAACATATTATATATTGTTAAGTTTAAGTATTGTTGATGACAATTTTGCCTTACGTATTTAATAGCTGTTAGTTTGTATCGAGTTCAAAAATTTAATATTAGATGTAAAAGTCTAGTAAAATCGATTTAATTTATTTCTTGTGAGTGGCTAAGAATGCACCAAATGGGAAAGCAGAAAATAAGTTATAATAATATAGCCGGTAGCAAGGTGTCCATTGATGAATTGGTGCAGTACGTAACTCTACACGTACGTAATCCAATTCTGTTCAGTGGAGTAGTTTTACCTTTTGTGCCTTTGTATGTCAGCGCATTTTATATTTGGATACATTATGGAGTGCAGGAACACTACGAAGCTGGCATAATTGCGGTGGCCGCAATAGCCTTTGTGCATATAATTACGTTATTATGTTGTTATTGGAGTGTTCATGTTATGGCATTTTTAAATTGCCGTCGTGTCAAAAAACCAGACGTTAATGTACTAGCTAAAGTTGTTCCAACTGCTAATAATGGTTTCTCAGAACTAGTACGAATACATTGTAAAACGTTAGAGAATGGAACACAAATGTTTTATTTTTTGTTTCAAAAAACAAAATATATTTGGGAGGAAAATAAAAAAACTTTCCGTGATGTGGAATTTCCGGTTAGTCTTCCGTTAGAAGATTATGCACGCTCCCGTGGTCATGAGACAGATGCAGCAATAACATTAGCAGAACAAACTTATGGAGTTAATCAAATGGAAATGGTTGTACCAGAATTTCATGAGTTATTTATTGAGCGCGCAACAGCGCCATTCTTCATATTTCAATTGTTTTCAGTGGGGTTGTGGTGTATGGATGATTATTGGTGGTACTCACTTTTTACTTTGTTTATGTTGATAATATTTGAATGCACATTGGTACAACAACAGCTGCGCAATATGTCTGAAATACGTAAAATGGGAAATAAACCGTATCTAATAAATGTGCTAAGGAACAACAGGTGGCGACAAATCTTAACAGATCAATTAGTTCCAGGAGATTTGGTATCAATTACACGATCACAAAACGACAATATTGTGCCATGTGATTTAGTTTTGTTGCGCGGTAATTGCATTGTAGATGAAAGCATGCTTACTGGTATGACAATTTTATTACATTCACAAATAATTTGATTACTATAGTTCATAATTTGTTTGCTAATGTTTAGGTGAATCAGTGCCTCAAATGAAGGAGTCTTTGGAATCACTCGATAATCTGAATTGTAATTTAAATGTTGATGGTGATGGAAAGTTGTATGTATTGTTTGGCGGGACCAAAGTAGTACAGCATACACCAACTACCAAAGGAAGCATTAAAGCGCCTGATGGCGGCTGTATTGGCTACGTTATACGTAATGGTTTTAATACGTCACAGGGAAAACTTTTGCGTACAATTCTATTTGGAGTAAAACGAGTTACTGAAAATAATTTAGAAACGTTCGTATTTATAATATTTTTAATGATATTTGCCATTGCCGCTGCTTCGTATGTTTGGATTAAGGGAAGCGAAGATCTTGAACGCAGTCGCTACAAGTTGTTCTTAGAATGTACGCTTATACTAACTTCTATAATACCACCTGATCTACCTATAGAACTTACGCTTGCTGTTAATACCTCTCTAGTGCAATTGTCAAAGTTATTTATTTTCTGTACGGAACCTTTTCGGATTCCATTTGCTGGCAAAGTACAAATATGCTGCTTTGATAAGACAGGCACTTTAACAACGGATAATTTAACAGTTGAGGGTGTAGCGGGTCTGACCAGTGATGGTGAGATTGTACCAATGGAAAACGCTGAAGAAAATACAGTACGCGTCCTAGCAACATGTCATTCATTAGTAATGTTAGATGACGGTTTAGTGGGGGATCCGCTTGAAAAAGCAATACTGACTGCCGTTGATTGGAATCTTACTAAGCAAAATTGTGTTATTCCAAAGCCGGGTACATCATTTAAACCATTACGTATAGCGCAACGTTTCTATTTCTCGTCCGCGTTGAAACGAATGTCAGTGCTTGCCGGTTATATGGTACCATTCAGTAATGATGTTAGCTATATAGGAACAGTCAAAGGTGCACCAGAGATAATAATGAAAATGCTGAAAACTGTGCCAAAAGACTACGAAAAGGTATATATAATATGTTTTCCATTAAATTATTTTGTTTAAAATCAATTTTTGTGCAGACATTTTTGGAATATTCACGCAGAGGAGCTCGTGTACTCGCATTAGGTATTAAAGACTTCGGTATTAGAGATCAACATATTATACGTGATATTAAGCGTGAAGATGTTGAATCGGATTTAACTTTTGCTGGCTTTGTTATAATATCATGTCCAATGAAACCGGATTCTAAAATGGTGATTAAGGAACTAGTACAGGCTTCACACAAAGTTGTTATGATTACAGGCGATAATCCGTTGACTGCATGCTATGTTGCAAAGGAATTACGTTTTACACGAAAGAAGCTTTTGATCTTAACGTATAAAAGTCACAGCTGGACTTGGCTAAATATAAATGGTGAAAATATCTGCGATTTAAAGGACGACATTATAAAAACTCTAAGTCAATTTGATTTGTGTATCACTGGTGAGGGTCTACAACATCTTAAAGAAAATTTGCCTGACTTATTATTGGTTTTGTTACCTTATGTAACTGTTTTTGCACGTTTTGCTCCAAAGCAAAAGGAATATGTTATTACAACATTAAAACATTTGGGTTATTGTACACTTATGTGTGGTGATGGTACAAATGATGTAGGAGCACTTAAGCATGCTCATGTAGGAGTATCACTGCTAAGTAGTGCTCCTACTAAACTAAAGAAACGAAACACTGAAAATAATATACCAAGTATTGGCGATGGTAATCCTTCTGTCACATCTCGTGGCACACAACGCGGTGCCAACATGACAGATCGTCAGAATATGACAGTGCGTGAACGTGCCATTGCACATCAACGTGAAATGAGGTTAAATGCGCAGCAGAGATTGCAAAATGCCTTGAAGGAAAGTAATGAAAGTGAAGTGCCTATTGTTAAAATGGGTGATGCTAGCATTGCTGCACCATTTACTAGTAAGACATCATCAATAGTATGTGGTAAGATAAATGCAATATTTCTTTTTATAAGCAATATGTTTATATTATTATTTGAACTTTTAGTCAATCATATCATCAAACAAGGTCGTTGCACTTTGGTAACAACACTACAAATGTTCAAAATACTAGCGCTTAACGCAGTTATATCCGCTTACTGCCAATCGGTACTTTATATTGATGGAGTGAAACTTAGTGATGCACAAATCACAACGCAAGGTCTATTCATAGCTGCATGTTTTCTTTTTATAACGCGTTCAAAAGTAAATTATTCATTACTTGAATTTGTTATTTCTTAAATTGATTAAATGTATTTTTAGCCACTAAAAACACTTTCGAAAACTGCTCCTCTGCCTAACATTTTTAACATGTACACTATTTCAACAATACTAAGTCAATTAGTCGTGCATTTTTCTGCACTGTACTATCTAATTATGGAAGCAACATTACGTTCACCTCCAAGGCAAGTTTCAATATTTCGAATAATATATAATAATATGTATAATATATTCTTGGTATTTATATTAAATGTAGAGAAGGCAAGATTAAATTATATATCGATATGAATGCTGAAGAAAAGTCAAAATTTGAACCAAGCATAATCAATAGTACTGTGTATATAATTAGTTTATCATTACAAGTTTGTACCTTCGCTGTTAACTATAAGGTAAGTATATATTATCTATAATATTCAATTTAATATAAGTCTATATGTGTATATATATTTAATATGACTATACAAAAATTTTATTTAACTAAAACGTTTATCTCTTAGCATTTTTCTTTTCACAGTGCTTTACAGTTGATCTTAAATATTGTTTTCCTTTTATCCCAACATATATTTCTTATTAATTTTTTTTGAGTCTGTTAATACTTCTTTAGTATTAAATAAAGTTACTTTTAAATCCTATTATGAATTTCCTACGTAACTTAATTTTTCATATATCTGTGGCCATTCTTTAAAATTGTAAAAGTTCAGAGAAAAACAATCTTAAAAACAAAATATAATTGTTCAACTTGAAGTCCGTCTTGTAATAGACGCGGCTCATTAAGAACATAAACAGTGGACTCATTATCATGACATAGGTTTAACCCTAACTGCCAGTTGCAAAAGTCGTTGTGAATATGTCCCAAAACCATATGGTTTTGCAGACGACCAAGTGTCTTTCAGCCTTGCCGACATGGGACACAGCAATAAAAATTGTGGCTGTCAGAAGTGTTCTTCTTTTAACCTACTGCTATAGCAATATTCAGTGTTCTGTATTAGTTATATATATTTTTTGATTATAAGTGGACCATGTTAACTATAACAACTTTAAGATTCTAAGTAGACTATTACTAGTCTTTATTATGTATTAGCTTAACATTTTGGTATACAAATTATTATTAAGAAGTATAAAAAATGATTAAAGATATCTCTCACTTATCTCCCAATTTACTCTTGCTCCTAAATAATATTCTCTCCTTTCACAGTACCATCACTACCATCCACATCCTAACTCATGCAGACGTGTCTGTAATTTCTTTGTGGTTATTGTGAATCTTAGTATACAAATTATTATTAAGAAGTATTAACAAATGATAAATATTTCTTACTCATCCTTTAATTTATTATTATTCTTAAGTAACTACCACCCATCTTAATGTAATCTAACCACATCCTAATGTATATAATTTTTTCGTTGCTGTTCTAAGCCACAGGCATTTGTTTGTGTAGTCACTTGTTCCGCACATGGTCGTCGAACTCGACGAATGTCTCCGGGGCATAAACCTGTTCGTTATTGAAGTCGTTCCATGTTGTTAACTACTTTAAAGATTCTGGCAGGCTACAGCAGCAGCAACATTATATATATATTTTTAAATTTATATTATTTATTTAATTTATTTATTTATATATGTTATAAAATTTAAATAAAAAAATATTTCAATTATATTTCTAGGGTCATCCATTTATGGAAAAGTTGCGTGAAAATCGGTTATTATTGTCTTCAATTCTACTCTTATCTGGTTTTGTAGTATTACTATCTTTAGGCATTTTGCCAGATATTACAGAAATGTTTGAAATCGTCGAATTCCCAACAGATGTAAATATTGCTCTATAAAAATTTATATCATTTTTATATATATATTAATTATCTTTATTTACAGTTCCGTAAAATACTGGTATGCGTGTTATTTGCTGATGCATTATTTGCCTACTTAGTAGACAGAATATGTGCATTCCTTTTCGGTGAGACGAGGCGAAAATCAAAAATACTAAACTGCTAGTAGGGAATACTTTTACGTTCCAACAACTTTAGCTTAATATTTATATCCGATCTTTTTGTTTTTAAGAATGTTTTTTTTCATTGTTTTTAACTAAATAAATTTATATATAAAATATTTAAATAAATTAAAAACACACATGGCATTAGGAGAAATATTTAAATATGTTAAAGTGGATTTTATTAATTGATTGTGTTAAATTGAATATTTAAATAAATAATAAAAATATATTGATTAAATAATTAAATAATCTAATTAATTAATATGTATATACGTATATGTATACTGGTACATATACTTAATATCATTGCTGCATAAATATAAGTTAAATATAGTTGTGCGTGCAAATTTATGTGCAATTAACTGAAATTGAAATTGAATTTATGTTTGTGCTGCTATCTGATCTTCCATCTTTGAGTCTTCAAGTTGTTTAAATTGTATCAGAATAACCAAATAAGTTGTGACAGCTGAAAATATCTGAAGACGAAAATAAAGTTAGATTATAATATATATCTTAGTAAAATTACTTATTTAATATAAACTTTAGCTTATATTGTTGAAAATTAAAAGATATTTTAATTTATGTCATATGGTCTTCACATAGTATGCACTTTTAAATAAGTGCTTGTAGTTAGTTCAGGTGTAGGTATTCAATAAATTCGCGATATCTTAACACTTACCTTAAAAAGTGTTGAGTTATCAATGACAAAGAATCCATAAGCTGTAAACTGCACATCTTGTTTTATGCTTTTGGTTAGAAATTTGTCAATCTAAAATGAAAATATAATTTTATTTATTAAAAAAATGTAATTGTATTTTATCGATTTTTAAGGTATTTGTTTTTTTATTTTTGTCACATTATTGTTTACTTAATCGTATTTTAATTTTTTTTTTATTATTGTAAAACAATAAATAAATAAAAATAATTAATTAATTTTAACCGAGCTTATTTTACGCAAGTGTTTTTTAATTTTTATATTATAATTCTAAAATAAAAATTTAATTATATAATTAATTTAATTATATTAATTATAATTGAGCTTATTTTACTCAACAATGTTATAATTTTTTTTTATAATTTTAAAACAAAAAATTAAAAACGATTAAATAATTTTAACCAAGTTTTTTTTTATTTAAGTGTTCTTTAATTTTTGTTTGTAATTTTAAAACAAAAAATATTAAAAAACGAATTAATTTTAACCGAGCTTATTTTACAGAAGTATGTTTTAATTTCGTCATTTATTTTTACTTTAATTTAAATTTAAGAAGAAATTAAAAATGATTAATTACTCAAGAGTGTTATAATTTTGTTTTTTTATTTCAAAAAAAAAAAATCAAAAAAATTAATTGTTTTTATGTCTAAGTTTTTAATACAAATAAAAATTAATAAGTAGAACATTTGTCGTTATTTAATATTTTAAATTTAATAGAATAGAAATAATTAATAAATTTTTATTTGTATTAAAAACTTAACAGCTTTAAGCGTAATTAAAATTATGTATTAATAATATTAAATAAAATGATACATACAAATTATTATTTTTTTAAAAAGATAGATTTTTTTTATTAAATGTATTATATGTACACTCTTACTACTAACTGTTTGTATAGATTTAGATTTATATATACTTTTTATATAGTTACATTAAATCTATCTATATAATATATATATTAATTGTATATATATACTTTGTTTTTTTTATACGTATTACTTTAAATTTATAAATTAAATTTATAAATTATATAAATTTTATGATCAAATATTTAATTTTATAAATTAATTGATCAAATTATTAATTAAATAATATATTTTATTTGTATAGGGTTTATATATATATTTTATTTATTTATAGAAAACTATTTATACAATATATGTATAAATTACATGTTTATATTTATAGTATTTAAATTGTTTTTTGTTTTATATTTATTACTTTAAATATTATAAAAAATATGTAATTAAAAACATTAATTTTAAACAAAAATTATAGTTTATTTATAACATATATTATTATTATAAAATACATATTAATATTATATATATTATTATCAGATATATATATATATGTATATATATTATTATAATATATATAATTTTATAATACATATATTATAATTATATAATATATATTATTGTTATTAAATAATATATATTATTATTACTAATACTTTCAATACCTTAAGATTTATAAATTTTTAAATTTATGTAAAATCTATCTGTGTATATATTATGAGTTATATATATGAGTTAGTATGAGTTATATATATTTAAGTTAATTTTTTTTAATATATATTACTTTAAAACATATTAATATTTAAATATACTAATATTTAAATATATTACTTTATACAACTTCAAACAAAAATTATAATTTATTTATATATAACAAATATCTCGGTCTGTTGCATACAGCATCTCCTGTGTTATTTAATTTTTATATTTATTTTTATTTTATTTATTTATAAAAATTAAAATTTAATCAAAATATTTAACACAAATTAATAAGTGTAAACATTTTTTATAATTTATGTGTTAAATAAATGACCTAAGCCCCGTCATAAACAAAAACATTTATAAATTTTATAATAATTTTATAATTTTTATATAACACCATATATAATAAATGAGAAATATATTAAGAATAAAGAAAATAATTAACTTAATTAAGATGTTATGATCAAACGGAAAAATTGTTGGGTACAATTACAAAGCCAGCAATTAATTTTTAATCCAAAGGTCTCCAAAGGTTATAAACTATATGTCAGTGTATCATCAAACAGGCTTTTAGTTCACGCACTATGTTACGGATCTTTTGTCATTGTAATCTGAATAATCCGACTAATACTTAGTTAATTTATCAAGTAATAAGCATGGAAGGAATGTTATAGCAAAAAATAAAAAAAAGTTGAAAAAATTATTTTAAAATAGTTGATAGCTTATAAAGATGAGATAAAATTAGTAGTGGGAAGTAAGATTTAAGCTATATCAATATATAGTGTAAAGAAAAAAGAGTTGCTCAAAATAGCTGACTTTACTGAAATCGTTATTAAATTCATTTTGGCGTCTCGAAACCTTAAACCTGTCTGAAGTTTATACCAAGTAAAATTTATATATATAGTATATATTATATCAACATGACATCAAAAATTTGTAAGTTCTCCTATTTTAATTAGGTGGCATTACCGAGTCAACATATCAATCTTCCGTACATCGTCTTGAAATTACAGACAAGATAAGCATGTTTATGAAGTATCTAAAAACATACTTAAAAACTTTGATGCATTTTTGTGAGGGGTTCTAAATTTGCCCACTGAGATAGGTAACTAAATTATTATTAGTTAGCTATTACTAATTGGTCTAGAACAGGGCCGTCCTACACTCGTGTATCTAAGTAGTCTTCTACATAAACTCGGGTGTTGCAGCAGAGAGGAAGTCTCTTATTCTTTCTAATGCTTGAATACGCATTTCCATCCCTGAAGAATATATAATAACAAAATCGTAGCAGCTATACGCATATGCAGATGAATTCCGATAATGGCGCGAAGTGTAAGAAAGCTTATAAGTATATTTGAGAATGAATTAAATGACTTATTATGTTGGTTTAAAAATGAGCAAATATTAGACAAAATTTCTCAAGCCAAAGAGAAAAAACAAAAGGACTCGCATGGTAAACTTATCAGTTGATGAACATAGCTTTAATGCAATAGATGACTTCACCTGCTTCAGTACGGTAATCAACACAAACAATGATAATAAGCTCACAATAAATGATAGACTACTGAGAGCTAGCAGATGCTAATGCCAAAACCTAGATCTGTTCTTCATAAAAAAGCAATATAGGAAATTACAAAAGAATAATATAGGCAGTTGTTACTTATGGCTTGGGAATCTGAAAGACGGCAGAAGCAAATGGAAAAGGTCTTCTAATATTTAACATATTTTTTGGACCTCTCCAAATAGACGAAGGATTAAGAAAAAGAACAAATACAAAAATTATTGATTCACTTAAGAATGAAAAGTTTGTGAGATTTATTAAAGCGCAGAAAATATAACGGAGTGCCTACGTTGTAAGAATGGGTTATGAGGAAAATTTTGAGGAGTATTGTCAGTGCTGAATCTATGGCAATATGTTGTTATACATCAAACAAAAACATTTTTTAACCACCTGATAAGTATTTATTTAGTTTAAAATTTATTACAAAATATTATTCTTAGAAGCATCGATACTAATTTGTTATACTGATGTGCTTTACTGAGTCTTTCATGTAAAGCATGAGAAAATAAACTACTTGGGAATTATAGTCTAAGAAATAATACCCATTAAGGAGAATTAAATAAATAATAATAATAATAGTTTAATAATAATAATATTATAATATTAATAATAATTATAGTAATAATATTAATAATAATAATAATATTAATAATAATAATAATATTAATAATAATAATAATATTAATTATAATAATAATATAATAATTATATTATACTTATATAATTGATAATTCAGAATAGTTTATAATTGAGCTATAAACAAATTTTTCCAAACTTACTATATTTTGATACTCCTTGCTTTTTCCGTAAACCCGAGCTAATATCTGAGAAGTTGTGTTAGCCTATAAATATAATTATAGCATATTAATGAATATATATTAATAATTCTAAATTAATAAAAAAAGTATGTATTATTATTAATTTAATTTTTGTATTAGTAAAATAATTTTCGACTATAATATTTTTACAAAAGAAAATAATTAATTTAATATATTTTATGGCATTCAGATCGAAATCGGTATTTGATAAACATTTAAGTATAAATTATTTTTGGCGGTAATTCTAAATCAGTGAACTCTCAATCCCTTTTTTATAGGATAAACACAAAAAGTTATGAGTTTTTAAGAATTAATTTATAGATTTAATGTTAAAAACGAAAAATGTGAACTTCTTTTCGAGAAGTTCGTAAGAATGTTCCATTTTAGAGCCCCGATCACTATGTAATCGGCTCAAAAAATATATGTCCAAGAAGCGATGCTATGAAATGTTTGTACAGCAGTATTTTGGCTATACTTTAATTATAACTCTTAGTAACATCCTAATAATTCACGATATAAGTGATATGTCTGATATAATATATTCATAGCACAAGTACTATCTCTATGTATTATCTCTATGAATAATAATATAATGAATAATAATCATCCTTTAAAAGATTTTTACAGAATTGGTTTGAATTTTGTATATTCTTTGGTAAACAAATTTAAGGCTTCTTGGTTTTAGTACAAATCTAAAGCATGTTTTTATGAGGTCTTTAATAAGTTGGGCAAAATGTATTCGTCGTTTTTTATTTGCTTTAATTGAACTATCATATAACTTTCCATAAACCTCAATTAGCGATTTTCCGTCATTTCAATATCACTTTCACATAAAAACACCTTTGGATAGAAGAATTTAGACTAAATCGATTCCATCGAATTTAGATAAGTTAATAGGCCTTTTATCTTTACCGATGAATAGTCTTAAAAGTGTCAAAAAAAGTTGAGTAGTAATAAACTACTAAGTTCGTAGTGACATAAGGGTAAGACATATTTGAGGGAACAATTTTTTTTAAGCCTAAATAAGATCAATAAATTGTAAGCGTAGAATAGTTTACAGTGGTGAGAATTTAATTAAGGTTCAAAAAACACTCACACTCTATGTCTGAAAAGCGTTAATAAATAAATTGTATTCACTTGGAAATATACATTTGCATATATTAATTGGTATTTATATTTTCTATCATAAAAGAGTGGTGAGTTTGCACGACAATGTATACGACAAGAAATCTATTGTAAATAAAAAAAGGAGTATATATGTAACTCTGAACTCCTAGATGGAGCATAGAACCACTGTTATCAAAATTAATCGAAATCTGTTTTACAGTTGAGTATTCAGGAGAGAATTAAAGGTATTATAATATAATACATAATATAGAAATGTAGTGAACTGCGGAAACCATTCCTATATTTTTGGGATATTTTTCACTACTTGCCATAATTCTGACTAAACTACTGCTTTCATGGGTATAGATATTATTCCATGAATTAACTACATCTTTTACTTCACATTTCACAGTTCTCCTCGAAATCTTAGCAGATGTACTGGAATATCTAGAAACTTGTGGGTTCTAGCACAATACCTGTAGAACAATATTACTGTTTACTCTTATAAGATTGTACACTATCTAATCCCAATTCTCATTCTTTATTGCTTTTGTAGATCTAATTTATCTTTTACTAGCTCAAAGATTGGTTATGATGTCATTTGTACAGCAAGATGATAAAATTCGATGTTGACCCAAGCTTGCAAAATTGATTTTTGCGAACTGGATTGCAGTGGTACTACTCCATGTTATATTCCCATAAAATCAAACTTTATTAATGTTTGTATTGAATACGCTAAGCTATGCAGTAGTGGGTAATATAGCTCGCACATCCCCTGACAATTTTAAGGGCATCATAATGGGCAATAGTGTTTTCCGACTTTAAGTGTTGATGTTTACATCAACTTTAAGCCTTATTAAACTTTAACTTATGTATCAGTGGATGTATGGTTGTATATATATATATATATATGTATCTCTAAAAGTCCCAAAGCCTTACTAATTCTGAAAATAATATCGTTCTCTGTTCCGCTTTTATTTGTTATTATATATCCATATATATATTATTGTTATTAAATGGATTTATAGTAAGGAAATTTAACTTCAAAACTTCACTTTGAATTAAATCATTTTATCTGTACTTAGCAACGGTTAATAATATTAATATTTTTAATGAACTTAACTATATTTATAAAAAGCGAAAACACATAATTATTTTATTAATTTATTTTACACACCTCCCTTGTTGCTTGTCCACAACTCTTTGATAATATAGCCAGTAATGAGATATGTAAACACAACCAAGCCAAACACCACTGTAATACGTTCATCGATATATTATTTGTGGTAATTTGCACAAATAAATTATAGGCCGTAGTGGTTATAGTATAAAAGGCATATCCCATATAACCAACCAAAATTAGACTACAACATTCATTTATGGACTTATAGATGCGCAACAATTTATTATGCATACGATACGTAAACAATGAAATATCTGGAAAAGTTTCCATAGCCGCAGCCCCATTCTCACCTACTCGGCGCCAATATTTACTTATCTTGCGTTGCTGTGCGTAGGTATAACCATTCAATACCAGATTCAGGTACTCGAACCGCATCGACACGATTCTGAGTAATGCAGCGGCAAAAATAATAAATATACTGGACATGCCATTTTGTATAGCATAGAATGCGATCAGTATATAGGACGTCGGTGTTAGTTGATTGGTCGCAGAAATTATTTTGAGTATTATTATGTACCACTGGCAAATGCAGATGCCGACTATAAATTTAACAGAAAACTCACAGTTATTGCTTAATGTGGCATGAAATTGTCGTCGTACTTCCTCATCAACCTTCAGTATTTCATTTATAATTTTCAGAAAGGATTTCGAGTTTTTGGTACATATAAGTACCGTGGCCGAATAGGTGATAACGCATAGTATAATTTCGATCCATTGATTAATATTATCCGTCTCACTGTATGAATAAAACAATTGAGAACCACCAGGTTTAAAGAGATTATACAAATTAAAAATGGTAAGTCCATGTACAACGCCCCGCACAAAAAACGAATAGAACTCATGCGATTTATTAGGTGGGCCAACTTCATAGTTCGAAAGTTGTTTATATATGGGTAATAAACCAGTTGCTTTCAAAATAAATAGTATAGTTCGGATGTCCTTAAAAACGGAATTTTCTTTAGCCGGTTCACGTAAAAATTCCGTGTTGTAATTGGGTCTCTGGTGTGTTGGTGAGTCTTTATTCTTATTCGACGGCATATTGATGGTCCACCCACCCTGGCACATTGTTTTTTTCAAATTATTCTTGAAGTATTATTTTTCTCTCAACTTTTTAAGCATGACACACAATTAAGTTTAGAACGAAAGGCAAACCGTTTAGAACACGCATAGGTCGCGACTTTATGCACGTACTAAACCAAAAAATTTTTGCACTATCAAATTAAGTCTAAGTCCAATTCAATTACTTAATAATCGTATTTTGATATTCATAAATTTTTTTGTTAAAGCGATTGCTTAGTAAATATGCGCTGTTGCTTCAGTTTTGAATTAAATTTATATCAGACCATCTTCAATATATTCAACCTTTTAGCAGGATATGCACATAGGATATGAGAACACAGTCATAGGTTAATAAACACGGGAGTGGATTTCAGTAATTGTTGTAAATTATTAACAAAAAAATACTAGTTATATTGTCTTAGTTAATAGTTAATAAATAAATATATTTAAAAAATAAAATAATTAAAAAATATAATTAATTAATTTAATTATTCTACAGCTGGTAATGAACTTTCACAGCAAATTAACAAAACTCCCAGTTCGAACATATAAGTCAAGTACGGCTTTGGGTCAGTTGGCTAATGAACGCTGACTCTAAGCTTCAAATTTGACAGGGTACGCGTTCAACCCTTGGTATTTACAGTCTCAAGAAACTATTTACGAATAATTCAATATAAGAAATAATTCCAAAAAATCACTGATGATGGATATTTCCAAGTACTCGAAATAGCTGTATGCGCAAACAAAGATTAAATTAATTAAAATAATGTGAAAAGAATTTTTATTATATTAGTAACTACTTTTTGAAACTTCTCCAGTTTATAGTTAGTTAGTATAATAGTTTATAAACTGACTACTTAAAGCGATCCATTTATATATAACACTTTCAAGTATATATTATAGACATAGATAATAAATATAGATCATATTTATCATATTTTTAAAAACTGGTATTGTCGTCTGAGGTGGTCTTTGCTAGTAGCTATTTTTATTTAATAAATAAAAATAGATTTTTATATTTTTTGTTATAATAATAATTTGTTTTATTTTACATAAAAAATAAAAAATTTTGGAATTTTTTTTCTAAATCAAAGCAGGTGTTCTTAATTCTGTAAGATTATAACAGACATATGTCCTAGAAAATAATACAAGAAGTCAACGGGTTTCTAGCTGCTAATGAAAACAACAGAAGAATGCAGAAAACGTTCAGCCTTTGAAAGAAGTTCACACTGTCTTGGGATTTTCTAGTATTAGTCAAAAAATGAAAGCTTCGGGTTCCATTTTTGTTTCTTCTAGCCCGAATCAAAGCCGAATTGTCATAAAGAATAGGAATCGACGTGTCACTTTCTTCAAGGTAGAGACGATATTCTGTAACTCAAAGATATTCATCCTATTGAAATGAAAAGTCATATAACCTTTCAGTAAACTTAAAGCTGCTCTATTGAAGAAAAATTATCTTTATAGTTGCAGGTGTGAACCAGCTCTTTAACTGAATTGTATGGTTGAATTCCGTTTTTATGGAATTGTACATGAATTTAATGTCAACATTTCGAGCATTATCTTACTGGGTTTTACTGATCATTACTTATATAGTATTGTAGCAGTCCATCAAGTGTTTCGAGGAAAGTTTCAGAAGGATAATACCTTGTTTGCTGATTTACTATTTATATATTGTAGATACATATATGGAATATATGGAAGATTTAAAGAGAAGCTGAAAGCAAGCTGAAACTTTAATGAAGTAAGCCTTTAAAAATTATTTATAAAAAAACTTCATATAACATAACAACATTGAACTATATATTAATAGCAAAATAGGAATGAAGTCAAGAAGGTAGTAGGTTATTTTCATGTTAAGCTTATAGGAAAAAATATAGCAGAAAAAAGAATTATATATTAACTTAAGAATTAACAATTTAAGTGCTGCTTAAATAAATATTTCATAAATAAATAAAAGTCAAAATTATAATCGACATAGAATAAAAAATAGCCATAAGGCTTTTAAAAAGTATTATAATTTATTTAGGGTCTTAATAGGAAAAAAAAAATGAAAATAAATTATTATTAATATTAAAATTTTATAACTGAAGGTGTAATAATTTTATGGTTTGTACACATTCACACCTATGATATATGACATAACATTGATAAACTCGAGTATTAACGAAGGCTTTGTGCTATCCATTTCTCAATTAGCCTGTGACTAAATGAAAAATGAGTGCTAAAATACGTACCCCACATAGTGTAAGAGTAGCCACTTACTAATTAAAAAGTTAATTATTAAACAAAAAAAAAAAAACATTTATTGCTATTGAGCGCCGTAAATGCAGCTCTACGTCCATCTATTTTCATGCACCAGCTCAAACTTGAAATTGATCCCAATAGATTTATGGTTTTGCCCTATTAAGGTAATAAGATTTTTCATCTTGGCCCAGAGTGGAACCAACACACTTAACCCTTAACTCTTTCTTCTAACAAATAATAACATGTGCTTGACTACAAGTATATATAAAGTAAGCTGCCCTAACTGGACACCGATGGGATCATGAATTCTTTGAGGTAAAAATGAAAAAGAAACTACTTTATATATAGAACGTTCTTTGCACGGTTAAGTAAGTTGTCCGTTAATAGAAGCGTTCAATTAACAGAGATTTTACCGTATGTGTGTTTATGTTTAATACTGGGTTCACACCAGAATTTTGTTTGTAATTTTAGCTGTCAAAAATTTTCATTCTGCGTTAAAGCAAAAACAATTGACAGCTAAAATTACAATAAAAACTCTCGTGTGAATACAGTATTATGTTCTTTCATTTAAATTGTTACATATCTCTTTAGTTTATATTTATTCAAAAAAAAAAAATATCTTTATTGGGTGTTTGGATGAAAAGTGTTAATTTATTAAAAATGTTGTTTTTGTTTTAGCCGGACTTGAGGGTTTATCAGTTCTTGAACAACATAACAAAAACTTGTACTTTTGGTTGTAATTACAAATTGATTGGGTTACTTATTGTGTATCAAAACTTTATCAGAGCTGATGTATATATATGTTATAACTGGTCATATCTCAGTTTATATGCTCCTATATAAAAGTATAGTATAAGTATTATATATATGTATGTAAATGTAATTTATAATATAATTACAATTGAGATATATACATTTAAGGCCTGAAAATTGCGAAAACGCTACTGTTTCTATCCTAACGACTTATGTATATATAACATTTCTCTCACCTCTGCGCATACAGCACATAATCAATTATAATAATTAAATTCTGACAAAGTCTTGTCGTAAAACGAACAGACAACCGCATTTATTTAATGACAAATGAATTAATTTATTATATTGAATTGTATGTAATGTATTACAAAAATAATATATCTTTATGTTTTCCAAAGAACGTTTCAATGCTAAAAATAAATAAACAAAAGGAACAAAATGCTTTATCCTATTCCGATTTAAAAAAATAAATTTAATTAAATTTGAAAGGGGGCTGGTTGGCGCAATATTATTTAAAAAAAGTTCAAACACTTTTAGGACACAACTGTAAAATTTTAACGAATGAAATATAATATTAAATACACTCTTTATTCCCCATTACACCCTACACACTATTTTAAGTAATACTAGTTTTGTACATAAATTCATTAAAATGTTTGTAACGCCATGAAGAGACCATTCGAACAGACGGTTCTATAAAACAGAGCTGTCCAAAGTACGGCCCGTGGGCCAGATGCAGCCCGCGAGTGATGTATATGCGGTCCAAGACATGTTTTTAATCTACTACAATTACGCAAATTTTCTTTTGGTATACTGGTAAAACCACATTATTTTATTTTAATGGTATAGCAAATAAATGATTTTAAATTGATAAATTAATAAAACTAAATTTAACATCATAACCGTATTTACCATGTTATAATGTATTTATAATAACGACTATGAACATGTATGTTCATATGTATTTGTTTTTGCGGCCCTCCAATCTGTACAGTATTTTGTATTGGCCCGCGATCGCATTGGTCTGGGCAGCCCTGCTATAAATAACAAAATCTTGTCTAACAGATCTCGAAAAATTAATTTAAAAATATTCGTCTATACGTCTGTCCATCTGCTAATATGATTACTTACTGAGTTTATGAGGCTATTGAATGAAATTATTTTTAGAAACTATTTATAAATCCGGGAGACTCAATTGATTCTCAATTGTTCCCTCAAATATATATAGAAATAATGATTGCTATATATGGTCTTATATTTTAAAAGACGATATATAGTACATATCTGGGCACACACATAAAGCTAAAAATCTTTTTAAAACAAAAACTCATAAATTGATGCCACAACAAATTGTGAGAAGGGTATTATGGTTACGACAAAGCCGAAGCTAAATTTTTTCTCCATAGTTTATATTTGGTTTACAAATTATAGGGTTGTACGAAAAAGAGTTATTTCATTTTTTGGTAAAAATAATAGAAAATGTAAGGTTTGCTTATAGCACATAAATATTTAATTTAATATTATTATCCATTTTGGTCTAATACGTTTTAATATCTTTCTGACGGTCACATGATTCAATGCCCTCAATATTTATAATCTTTGATGGCAAAAAACTGACCCAACTAATTTTTGACTTTCTCATTTGAAGTCAAGATTTTGTCGTAGATAAAAAAATTGGTAAAACCAGAACAATTAGTACTCCAAAAGAAAATTATGGGTAATATATTCCAATCAAACTGTAAACGATTTAGAAAGTTATCGAAATGTAAAAGGATAAGAAACATGGACATATAATATTTACGGAGGAATTATAGAATGACTTCTTCCGCTTAAGAGTGTTTCCAAAATGATCCTTTTGTTAAATATAATGAATCAATGATGTTTAGTATATTCATACAGTCTTTATAGACAAAGTTGAATATGAGGATTTTTTTTTGAGTTAGAAAAAATACCTATCTGATAGAAAAAAAATTATTCCTTGTTTATTTCAATGAAATAAAGTTTTTTCTTTAATTTTTTCTCTTCTGCTTTTATGTGAAGAAACCATCTACCTCCTCTCCCATCAAGAAGGCTTGCATTAACTTTGATCAATTCTGGTGTTTTTTATTTGATTAAGAAATCAATTTTTTTTATTTTATCACAGTAAGCCCACAAAA